GTAGTAGTAGTAGTAGTAGGTAGTAGGTAGTAGGTAGTAGGTAGGTAGGTAGGTAGGTAGGTAGGTAGGTAGGTAGGTAGGTAGGTAGGTAGGTAGGTAGTAGTAGTAGTAGTAGTAGTAGTAGTAGTAGTAGTAGTAGTAGTAGTAGTAGTAGTAGTCGTAGTCGTAGTCGTAGTCGTAGTCGTGGTAGTAGTAGTCGTAGTAGTAGGAGGATGAGGAGGAGGAGAAGGGGGAGAAACATAAGTGCTTTGACTCAGTGGATGCCTCTGACGCGTTGGGGTCTGAGTAAGAGGGGGGAAGGGAGAGAGGGAGGGGGAAGGAGCAGGAGGGAGGAAGGGGGGGAGGAGGAGCGACCTCCAAACGATTTCCTGTGACCGCACTGAAGTAAAGCAGAAGTAGGAGCGGACTGGAAGGGTCAACCTCGAATCGGGAGTACGGATCGGATCGGGTCTGGCATCGAGTCAGAATTTCGAACCGAAGCGGCCGTACCCAGATTCATAGCAACGCCCTGCGCTTCGGGCACAAGTGGCAATCTCATGCCATCGGGCAACATCGGATCGTCGGAATATCTGAATCGAGTCGTGCTGAGCCAGCCGAGCTCGATATCGGATCGGATCATATCGTATCGAGAAGCACGTTCCCTGGAGGAGGGAGGGGAGGAGGGGGAGTTCTGGAGTTCTGGATATGGCGGCTGGGTCGGGATACAACAAACTTAGACACGCGATATCGGCCTCGTGGCCACCTGGTCCTTTGTCCAAACCTTTGGCCAGGCCCCCCTAAGCATCCAATCAAGATGATCTCTGCGATCACATCTCGCTGCTCCGATTTTTTCCGATGCATGGGCCCTGGAGGTCTGGACCACTTCCCCAGGGCCGGCTTCTCGTCCTGGGCCGTTTTTTTTGTTGACGGTCCCGAGGCCTGGCGAGGGCCCTCGGAGGCCGCAGACAGCCACGCATCCGCCGCTCCGACTTTGGTGGAGCGCTGGATCTCTGGGGAGACCATCCTGGGGAGGGCGAGCCATCTGCTCGCAGGACCCCCTCGGGGCGGCACGGTGGAGAGAGGGCGTCACCGAGGGCCTGGCCCCCGTGCAACAACCCCCTTCGCCTCTCTTTGCCGCACGCCGACGCCGCTCGAGGCGGTCGCCGCGCCCGAGGACCCCCCTCCGCGTCCTCCTGCCCCCCCTCGCCTCAGACGCGGCCACGATTTTGCGCAACGCCTTGGGCCAACTTGTACGGCCCTCTCGTGGCCCAGACTTAACCTCGGCCCCCGTGGGGGCTCGCCTCGGCTCTACCCTCCCAGGGGGCCGGCACCCGCCCGGCAGCTGTGAGGTGAGACTCGGGCCTCAGAAAGGGGGGGGAGGGGGCCTCGGGGCGAGGCGGGGACTGAAGAGGCCAGGAGAGCCCAGAACCGAATCGATAAGTCGAATCGGCGATCGAAATCGGCGGAAATCGGCAGCCGAGGCGGGAAAAGTCGCGTCTGCAGACATCGGCAGGCCAGCAGGCCTCCAGCGAGAAATCGGACCCCGAGTCGGAACCCGATGCCGAATCGAATCGGCATCGGAACCCATCGAAATCGAATCGAATCGAAATCGAAATCGAATCGAATGGACGCCTTCTGCCCCGGTCGCCCTCCTCGGGGGGCCGAGGGGGCGGCGCGCTGCGGGCGGAGGCTGGCAGTCGAGGCCCACCTGCCCACCCCCTCGGGCCTCTCACCTCGGCTCGCCCAAGGTTTGGCCTCTGGGGAGGGTCCTCCTCCTCCTTTTCCTCCTCCTCCTCCTCCTCCTCCTCCTCCTCCTCCTCCTCCTCCCCCTCCTCCTCCCCCTCCTCCCGGGGAGGCTCTGTGGCCACGTGGGGCCGCCCTGGGGCGGTCTCGCGGTGCATCGGCGGCGCGTTGGACGTGCTCGTGGACCATACTGGGCTGACTTGTGCGATCTTGGAGGCCACCTTGGGGCACCACCACCCGGGCAGCCTCGACACCGGCGGGGCTCTCTCTCTCTCTCCTGCGGGCCTCCGAAGCCCGACTCGACCCCTCCCCGGCTCGTCGCCTCGTGCAGGACAAGGCGGAGGAGGGGCGCGGAGAGGCCCGCGCCCCCGCGCAGCATCCCCGCCTCCTCCTCGGCTCCTCCTCCTCCTCGGTTTCTCGGCTCCACCTCCACCTCCACCTCCTCCTCCTCCTCCTCCTCCTCCTCCTCCTCCTCCCTCTCGGTTCCTCGGCTCCACCTCCTTCTCCTCCTCCTCCTCCTCCTCCTCCTCCTCCTCCTCCTCCTCGGCTCAAGGAGCAGAGCTGGGGGTCCTGAGATCCCGGAGAGTCGCAGCTTTTCCTCACGCTGGGCGCCCTCGCCCGGATACGGGGCAACACCTGTGGCCCTCGCAGGTCGGTCTGGCCCGAGGGGTGCCGCGGAGAGGTTGGGCCTGGGGCCCTGGTCGTGATTTTGAGCGGTGTTGCCGTTGTCGCCGCGACGGCTGATCTCAAGGGAGAGCGGCGCCGACGGCGCAGGCGCCTGCCACCGTGTAGCATCCCCTCCTCCTCTTCGGCCATCTGCTTGGAGACCATCCCCGCGCCGCTGGGGAGGGCGCCAGGTCGCAAATTACAAGACGGCCGCATGCAGGTGGTCCCCAGGCAGGAGCGGCATTTGTGGTGTGCGGCTTAAGGGGTGGCGCTGGGGGACCACTGATCCTCAGAGCGCGTGTTGTCGCCAACGCGTGCTTGTTTCCCGAAGCCCTTCCACGCGACGCAGGCGGTGCAATGAGGGCCGACGCAAGCTGCACGCCATCGGCGGGGCTGAACAGGAGAAATCACGCGTTGGGCCGACACGCGTCCTGAGGATTATCGAGGTCAGCAACAAGCGCGCAGGCCGCTGGTATCATCGTATCGCGCTCGGCGGTCGGGGGGTCCCCAGCGTTAGGTCGGGCCTGTCCCCCTACAGGGGGATTTTGGACGAACAGTAAGAGATAGCCAAACATATTCCCCAAATGATCAGACATGACAGAAACATCGTCCCCAGACTATTTTTTGGATTCTTTTTGAATGCTCCCAGCGGGCCCGTGCCAGAAACCACTCCAGCCATTTGAGCAGGGACCGACCGTCCCAGCATTCCTATAGTCCTACCGCGACATGTTCCTAGAACCCAAAAATGTTCTAAGAAGAAAACAATGCTCTTAGAGCATAAACCCGATGCGATAAAGCAAGACAGACTGCGCCAGAGACCACAAAAGGTTCTTAGACCATTCTTAGGTAGGGCTATAGGCGAGCCAGGACGCTTCGCCACTGCTTGAGCCACGGGGGCCACTCCTGCGCGCAGCCGGCCCGAGGTGCGGTGCGCCGCCCCTCCCCTGCCCTCGAGCACGGCTCGGGGGGGCCGCGGGGCGTCGGCGCGGCGGCGAGCGGCGGGCCCGCACCGGATGCCACTGCCAGGCGACTGTCGGCTGCACGTACAATGTGGGCGCGGCCGCAAGAAACCCTCGCATGAAACCCAACCCTGAGAACCCGCGCGCGAGGTACAGTACTCCAGAGGGGAAACCCGGAGCACCCTGAACGCAGCAGCTCCTTCAACGGCTGCGGGAAGTCACCGCGCAGCGCGAGGAGCGAAGAAACCCAGGATACCCTGACGAAAAGCAGATGGTTTCTTGATGCGCGCCCCCACTGTACACGTCGCTCATTTCTAATCGTGCTCATTTCTAATCGTGCTCGTTTCTAGTTGTTCCTGGCCCCCTGGTGGCCAGGAAGAGGCTCAGGACAGAACAATCAGGAATTTGGGGCGCGACTTTCGGGGGCCGCGGGGAGGCCGAACTGGAGCGCGCAGGCCGCTGCTGTCGCATCTCATTCGGCCCTCTGGGGACCCCAATGTTGCGCGCATCCAGGGTCACTCCAGCAAAAAGGTCACTCTTACGTGTAGTCGAGAACAAGGTCGCTCTTGCGCGCAGTCGGCAAGACGCGCGGGCCGCCGGCCCGTCTGCGCTAGGCGCCGCTCCTCCTCCTCCTCCTCCTCCTCCTCCTCCCCCTCCTCGTTTCCTCGAGGCTTGACGACGCTTCTGCAGTCCACAAACACACAAAAACACACACAAACACACACACAAGCACACACAAACACACACAATCACACACATTAACACACACAGACACACACAAACGTACATAAACACACACAAACACACAGACAAACATACAGACAAACACAGCGACAAACACAGACAAACACAGACAAACACACACAAACACACAAACACAGACACAGACACAGACACAAACACACACAAAACACAGACACAGACACCGACACAGACACAGACACAGACACAGACACAGACGCAGACACAGACACAGACACAGACACAGACGCAGACACAGACACAAACACTCACGAACACACACGCACACACACAAACGCACACCAACGCACAACCACACACAAACACAAACACACACAATAACACAAATACACACAAGCACAGACACAAACACACACCAACATTCACAGCACACACACACAAACACAAAGACACACACACACACAAACGCACAAACACACAGACAGACACAAACATACTATACACAAACACATACAAACAAACACACAACCACGCACACATGCACGCAAAGGCACAGGCAAACACGCAAACACACACAAGCACACACAAGCACACACAAACACACACACACAAATACGCACGCAACACCACACAAACACATATAAACACAAACACAATAAACACACATACACACAAGCACACATACACAAACACATACAACACACCCGAACACACAGAAACAAACACACACACACGCAAACACAGACAAACACACAAACAAACACAACCACACACACAAACGCACACAAACACACAAACACGCTATTTACACACATACAGAAACGCACAGGCAAAGACACACAAACACGCACACAAACACACAAACACATACACACAATCACACACAAACACACACACACACAATCCCACACAAACACACACACAACCGCACACACAAACGCACACACACAAACATACACATACAAACGCACAAACAAACGCACAGACAAACACGCACACAAACGGACACACACAACATACAAACGCACACAAACACACACACACAAACACATACACAGACAAACACACACAACCACTCAAACACACACAAACACACACAAACACACACAAACACAAACACACAAACACACACGCACACACACACACACACACGCACACACGCATGCACCCACGCACCGAGATGATCGGGGCGTCGTATCTTTTCGCACTTGGCGCTTTCCCCTGGATTCGGGTCCTGGGGGCCTCGCAGATCGGTCCAGCTCGAGGCCCAAACATCCGACGAGATATTTTTTCAATCCGCAACCCCAAAACTCCCGACCACTTCCCCAGAATATTTTTTTATTTTGGATTAATTATTTATGGTCCTGTGACATGGTATCGGGACCCGGAAGCCGAAATGAAACGTACTGGGATTGAACAAGTCGAGCCGTTGGAAATCTGGGATCATCGGAAATGCCTCTGAAATATGGGGTTTGAAGATCCGGTCGTGACTTTCACCGATGTAGCATTCTTTCTGCGACGTCGGGTCTCAGGGTGTGGCGCGCCCCAGAAAAGGCCTCACCTTCCAGGGGCCGGAGGATTTGTCATCTCTTACCCAGCGGAAGGCGGAGGAAGGCCAGCGGAAACAAAGCGGCGGGGGCTCCTCCAGCGGAAGGCTACAACACCGTCCCCAAGATGCTTCACTGTTTTGGATTCAGGTTTTCTGGAACCCGCCGTGTGGCTGGACTCATATTTGGAACATGTGGAGGCTGCGCGCTGGATGCACATGCGGAGGGCCGGCGTACACTGGCATAGAAGGACCGAGTGCTGGAAAGATATGCGGATATATGCATCGCCAACTCTCGCCCAAACTAGCCGCGTCATGCGTATCCTGCTTCCCAGTGCTCGTGACAACTGCGCCCTGCTCGTGTACTTCTGGTAGCACTCGTGCTATACCAGCGACGTCCGAAAACCTCACGAAAGCTGCGGCAATCAAGAGCGGGCCTCTGATAACTCCTGGAGGCCCCTGAAGGCCTCTTAGGGTCCTCTGGTGACCTCGGTCTCGGAAGGGGTCAGGAGAGAAGGATGGAAGGTAATCGTACTAATAATCTGCATAAGCAACAATTATCTGAGTTCTGCGTGGATTTCGTGGCTCGGCGCTGGACCTCCCTCCCTGGCGCGTGGAGCGTGCCAGGAGCGGTGCCGGAGGCGCCGCCAGGGGTCCGGCGCCGATCCAAGAAATCGTCGCGTACCTCTGACAGTTTGGGACATATCTAATCTTCTCTTCTCCGAAAGGTGGGCGGAGGGAGGGGAGGGGATTGGAAGGAGGGGGAAGGAAGAGGGCTCTCGCTCTTTGCCTCCCCCCCTTGCCCTCGCTCCCTCTCCTAGCTCGCTTCCTCCGCCTCCGCTTCTTTTCCTTCTCCCGTTCCTCCCGCTCGCTCTGAGACTCGTTGGTTCAGAGGGCACAATTCGCAACACGCACAACGGGGCCAAACCATCGCCAACGACGTGGAGATCGAGGGCGGCAGAAATGATAAAGCTCGTCGAACCTCATTCTCCTACGGCCGAGGTGCCACATGTGACGGCAGTCTGAGCGTCGCTCCGATTGTCGCCACACATAGGACGGGGCAATAGGAACGAGCGGGAGTGGGAATGATTGAGGAAGGCGGGAAGGAGATTGGAACGCAGAACAGCAGGAACGCGGAGAGAAAGGAACATTCAGACTGGACAAGGCCATTGCTGAGGACGAATGTTAACACATCGACACGATGCGGAGGGGCGTGTCAGACGTTACGGTTACTTGTGCACTCCTCATGCAGCTGCCACCCTAATTGCCGGGATTGCAAGGTGGCTGGACCTGCCGCAAGCATGCGAACATGTATGTGTGCAGATGTATGTATGTATGTCTGTATGTACGTGCGTACGTACGCACGCATACATGTATCTGTGTATGCACACGGATGTATGCATGAATGTATGTCTGTAATATACTGTGCTGTGCTGCCATGTAATGTAAGGTAATGCGCTGTGATGTATGTAATATCTGTAATAGATGTAACATGAATATTGTATGCGTGTCTGTATGTACGTATGTGTGTATGTATGTATGCATGCATGTATGTAAGTATGTGTGTCTGCATATACGTATGTATTCACATACGTATTCATATATGCATTACTGTATGTATGCTTATAAATTTGTTTGTTTGCTGGTTTGTATGTTTGTACGTACGTACACACATACAAATACATACTTACAAACACACACAAACACATACATATATACATGAATATCTACATACGTGCATCTAACTATGTATATTGTTGCCAGGGTGGACCCGCAACAGTCAGCTCGTGCTCTCTCTGTGTGTAAGCTGTGTGGTGCACGCTCTTTTGTGCAAGCCATTCACGTTGTAAGCAATGTGGTGCTTTCTATGTGCGCCAGAAACGGTTTGGTGCAAGCCACGTGGAACAGCTACGCTGTGCAAACTATGCAGTGCAAGCAAAGTTGCGCACGCTGTATGATGCACGCAGCGTGGTGCATCCAGCGCGAGGCGCCCATGGCCGCCCACTAGGCGAACCCTCGGCACACCCAACCCCAGTGCACGGGGCGTTCACGAGGCACACACGGCCGCCCACAAGGGGAAACCTAGACGCGCCCAGCCAGCCCACTTGGCACCCATAGCCGCCCACTATGCGAACCCCCGCCTGATCCATATCATACCGGAGGCAGCACAGGTAAGAACCCCTAGGTTCGATCACTGATTTGGGAACGCATATTCACATGTATTTGTTTATAGGCATGCACACCTGTGTGGTAGTTTATCTGCGCGCGTATTATGTTTTCATGAGTGGAGAGTACGCGTTGCCTCTCTTCTTAATAGAACCGTGTCTAAAGTACGACTGACTTGTTGCACACGTTGGGCCCTATTTATCAACACGTCAAGGCGAGTTGCTTGTCTCATCCTCGGCTGCTCTGGACGCCTTCCTATGTCATCGCGGTGATGAGCTAAGGACACATGTTGCACTTTCCTGCGCCTATGGCTTCTGGCTACGCTTCTTTGAGCGCGCAGTGTATTCGTTCACTGTGCGCTTCCAATGTATTATTTCCTTGCCACTTGTTTTTACGTGCTCGGTATCATTTTGTGTGTGTGTGTGCTGTTGCTGTCAGGTCTTCGCAAGCAGGACGAAGAAACGTATGGAAGCTGCTGCTGGCGATGTTGGTGACGCCCATAGGAAGTCCCTCCTGAAGGCGTCGCATGACTCACGAGCTGCTGTGACATGCAATTGCCGAACTCC